TGACTTTGAAAGTTTCAACTACTGTAAAAGTTTAACTATAGTATATTGTGATAAATTATTTAATTTTATTAAATAATTTATTTCTGTTAATATTTTTAATTTTTTGTTTTCTGCTGCTTTTGAGCAAAGCACATTGGCAACGAATTTGTTGAACTTTTAAATTTAGTCAATTATTTTGAAAGTTTACAGGAATTTATTTGTTTCGTCCTTGTTTGTTGCTGAAATTGTTGTGTTGCTGGAATTAGTTGTTGTTTTTAATTTGTTGTTCTGTTGTTTTGTTGTTTTGTTGTTATTAATATTTTTAAAGTTGCATTTGGGTTAATTTATGTTTCACATTATTTATGTAGGTTAACTAAGGTAGATAGCAGCACATTACTGGCATGCTTCTGCAGCAAATTACAAATTATGAGCGTAATTACTAATGTAGAAAATGTTCAGAATGCTATACATTCACTTCCACATGTATGTACGTACCATTGTGCCATGGAACATACGGTTGAACACACCAACAAATTCGAATGGTAAACATTTTTGCCGTGTTTTATTAAGACTTGTAGATGCTGCTGCTGCTGCTGTTGGTGCTGCTGTTTTTACTGCTCTTACAACATTAATGTTGCCAGCTATTGAAACATGCAATTTTTTAACTTATATCTTTTTGTTCTTTTCCGATTTTGTTGGCAATGAATTTTCTTGTTTCTATTGAAACGAGGGCTGAATAGAAACTTCCGAGATAATGTGATAACATTTTAATATGGAAATATATGTATTCCAATATTGAATAAGTAATATTAAATAGTTTACTATATCTCTTAAAAGGCATATGTCTGTTATTACATACTTATTATATTCATTCATACCAAAATATTTCGAATCCTGAACGAAGAGCAAAACTGTTGCAAAAGAAAAAATTTTGATTTGTCGAGTTTTTGAGTTATGAAAGTTTGAGTTAGACGTTCTTTTTCTTAATTATTGTATTATTTTATCTCAATTTTTAAAATAAATAAATTTCATGTAGATCATCACCTCCAACCGCTATTCCGAAATGAAAATCTCAATGCTAAGAAAAGGAAACAGATATATAACCAAATAATTCATCCGTCACTTCTATATGGTTGTGTAGCGTTTAGCAAAGCTTCAAACACTACTATTCACCAACTAAAAATTGCACAAAGCCAGGCTCTGAGAAGACTTTTCAAAGTTTCATAGTACATTAGGAAGAATGACATTCTCAGGGACATCAAGATTGATCCCATCAAAAAATATTTAAAGGAGAGAGCCATGAAATTATTTGCGAAAACTGACAGACTTACCAACACCGCGTTATCAAATCTCAGAATGGTTACAGGCTCCTCGGGAAGGTATGCAGGTCTGAGGAAGTGATAAACAATAATCTAGTCAAGGTGTAAAGAGGAGTTTTGAAGATACCTGGAGTTAAAAAAGAGTATAAGTGCTTAAGTGCACTAGCTCAAAACAGCTTCAACATAATAATAATAGAAGATAGAGAAGGGTAAACAATTCATCTTGATCGAGCTTCATTTACAACTATTCTTCTTATAAGAAGAAGAGTTAAAGAAGGGGACAGTAATCAGAATCTTATATTATTTATTCGTGGAAGTGCATATATAACGATATATATTATATATTAAATATAAACGATGTTTATATTTTATTTGTGTCAAAAATTATCACTAAGAAGTGAATTCGAAACAAACAAATAGTAATATATCTAAGCAAAACTTATTTACAAACATAAATACAATTAAGCAAAAAAGAATTAAATAAGTTAATTTGGGTAAATGATACTTAATTAATTCAAATAAATTTATTTATTTTAATTTATACTGGGCTTACGTATTTTATTTAATACATAAAAATACTAAAATTAAAAAACTCACTGATCAGTTGGTCGTATTAACAATTAATTATTCTAAATTAATTTAATTAAATATTAAATTGTTTAAGTCAAACAATTTAGCTTCAGAATTAATCAACAAATATCCAAACTTATTTATTAACAGTATATTTTGGATGTTATATGTTTTGCTGTCAGCAAAGCACATAATATTTTTTATCTAACCAATAGTTATTGCCGTAAGTTTCTTCATACTAGACCTTAAACCCATAGAAATATTACATCTTAATTATTTTCTTGCTTACTTTCTTGACACTTTTTATTGCTAAGAAGCTTCCTAATTCAAGGAGCAATTCTTGAGCTGATTGGAACGAAAGATTTTTATGAATTATTGAAATTTCGATTTACAGAATTTCGGATTAAGGGATGTATGGTTAAAACTCTACAACTTGCTTAAAAGCTAACACCATTGAGATGAATAGAACAAAGAATTGTAATGAATTGGAGAAGTTCCGATGGGTATTTGGCAATACTCGAAACAGCTGTATGGTCACCCAAAAATTAAAATAATATAAAAAAGAATTTTTGTTGTTGTAGTTCACTACTTTTCGTAGTTCACTACCTCTTTATAAAATAGTTTTATGTAATTTGGAATAATAACATTACTCATGCTGCTCTTTTGTTAGATGCCTTAGTTAGTTTATTAGTTGAATTTGAGGGTGGAATGAATCCTCCAAAAAAGCTGTTTTGATGCCACAATTATTCGGACAAGTTAGAAATAGCCAGAAGCATTGATAAATACGATAAATGTTCGGTCAAGATTAATGCTGGATATATCGCTGAGTGTGTTAAAGAAGGGGGCACCCAAAAGCTTAAGCCTGATTCCAGACTAGGCTGAATATAGATGCTTTTCAGAAATAATAAAATTATGTATTAAAATATGATACAAACAAAAATTCAATGAAAAATAGTCTTATTTTTCAAATAATGTTCTGAAGAGGTTTTTTCGAAGAGTAGTGAAATATAACAACAAAAATTCATATTATATTATTTTAATTAATCGTATTTTTGGTTGGCCATACAGCTGTTTCAAGTATTGCCAAATACCCATCATCAGTGGGTTTTGAAATAATTCTTGTATAAAAATATTCGTAAATAGTTTTTTGAGACTGCAAGCACCAGGAATCGAACTCGCGGCCTGCCAAATTTGAAGCTTAGAGTCAGCGCACCTCAACCAACTGACCCAAAGCCGTACTTGACTTTTTATGTTCTGTGTTTATATAAATACTTGCTGTGTTTATATTAGAACGAAATCATAAACCAGCTGTAGAATAATTGAAATAATTAATTATATTTTTATTTTTTAATTGCTAAATTTCAATACTATCCTGTTTTTAGAGGCATTATTTGTTGCATGATTTGTTCTTTCTTATGTGTAGAACCTTATCTAGGAATGTAATGCTGAGATAATTTTATTTAAAAATAAAATTAAAAACAGTTATTAGATACATACAATAAATTTTTATTATAAAGTCCATAATTTATTAATCCATTATATATATATTGTATTCTCTATCGTCTATACCTTTAAGATAACTATAGATTGTAGTCGTATTATCGGTGCAAAAAAATCATAATTTTTAAGACTAAGGTCGTTTATTATTTTATATTGATCAATTAGTTCTTCCAAAAATATATATGTTACTAAGTCCATTTGGCAATTGTATCACCATTAGTTCCATAATGTATATAGTATGAATACCATATATATAGTATATATAGTATGAATATAGTATGAATACCATGAAGTGCAATTTGTAAATAACTCATTTTAATTAGAATTAATTAACATTTTCAGATATAAAACAAAAAATGCTAGTGCAGAACTTTAATGACTTCAACAAAATTAATCAAGCACTCAGTTTTAATCTGTCGATTTGAATAAATTTTTGTAATTTTCACATTATTACGCTTCCCTCGCTTCACTCGCTTTACTCAGTTCTTTTGCCAAGGCATCAGCATACTCTTGGATGAAAACAAATATCCATAATGGGTCTGGCACTCTAAATATGTTTCGTAATTACATTTCGTCAGGTGATTAAATGCTTAATAATTGTTTTTGCTTTTGTTTTCCAAATGATAGTAATTAAAAGGGTTCTAATACGAGCAATTATTGTGAAAGCAGTGGCTTAGTATCAATTATGCAGAAGGAACTTGAGTTTATTTCACAAAATCTGTTATGTTTAAAATATCTTTGAAAGATACTTCCTCCGTAAATGAGTACTAATACACTTCGTTCGGATGAATCTCAAATCCCCATTCGATGCCACTGCGTGTAACTTTTTATAGATACGAGCATTTACTGATATGTTTGCTGCGTTAACAATTTTGTACTTTTACCTTTTAGTGAGCTTAATTTGGTGCAGATGTTGTTATCTTCTTTAAATTACAATGAAGTGCTTTCGTTCCTTTAGCACAGATACAAAGCTGAAGCTAAATAAGCAGCCAAACAAAGAATCGGTTGGATAATTTGTATGCGTGCGATTATGTTCGCTCGTTTGTGTTTAAGCAGACGTGCACTCGTAAGTATTTTTCCATTCAAAACGTACAAAATTTGAGATACAAAAAGAGCAGAAAATAGAAAAACAAAAACAAAAAACGAAAATTGCAAAAATACTTCAAGCTTATTTCAGTTACATCCGTTTTAAACATTTTAAGTTGAATTATTCAATGTTGCAATTTTTATTTTAATTGGTTTTTACCGCTCACTTTGTAGTAAATAATTGCCCTTATTATAGCTGGCACTGGTAGGACTGCTGAGACTACTGAGACTGCTGGGACTTATGTTGGAAGTCTTTTTCCCTTTTGTTATTCGAATCGCTGACTTCCCGTGTCAGTGGCTCATTTTGCTTCAATTCAGGAATCAATAAATCACTTGATAAATGTCCAATTTAATTTCGCCCTTTTTCATCCTCATCTTCATCTTCAGCTTCATCTTCAGTGTATATAAGCTGAAGCCACTTTTTTTGCACTCAAATAATTTTTTCCAATATTTTTATCCCTTAAAATTTACGTTTCTTTTATATTTCTTATTTTAAATGTAATTTAATTTTTCTTCCGTTCACTTGTGTCCTCTTTGTCATTGCAGGAAGATGTGTGGGCGTACGATTGCTGCTATCTAGACAACTCCAGGAGTAAGGGCATAAAATATTTATGTAGAGAAAACGTAATTGGATCATGCGAAATTCGAGCATCAAGCTGTGGTGTTTGAACGCGACACATAATTGAAGCAACTCAGGTAATTGAGCTTATTTCAAACGTTTGTCGTTTTTTTTTTTTTGTGTCTGCTGTTCTTGAGTCCTTTGGAGGGAGAAACATCATAATAATCAGCTTGTTACTGGTTTCTTATTAAATTTTGAAGTTTAATTAATGTTACACAATTTAATGCTATTAAAAATGGCTACGCATGCAGACAGGGTACTTGAGGCTTAAATTTGAAGAATTTTATTTTTAATATTGAAAGTGCTTTGTTTTAGTGACATTTTGATATTTGAGATTAAAGTAAAGAGCACTGGAGCATTGTGCAAAGAGCACCCAAAAAACACATTTGCACTCAAGCCACAGACATAAATGCTTTCGGTGTGCGTACTTTGGAAGGGGCATATTCGGAAGTTTGCTTTAGATCGGTGTTCACAAACTTCGAACTTCTATCAATATTGATGCATTCTGTGTATTGTATCGCCCGTATCAAGTCGAGCTAAATCAATAAATCAAAATTGTAGCACACCCGTGAACACATGCGGACTACGGAAAATGCAAGGCTGACCCTATTTACTTACAGCTTAAAGCCATTTCGCTGCAGTGTGGCACAGAGAGGAGCATATGTCACAAGAGCCAAGCCACAAAACACGGACACAACAAGCAAAACAATACCAAAATTTTGTTCAAAAATTGTCCTTATTTGTCCTTTTGTTGACTTTAAAGCAATGCGATGCAGACTTCAATTTTTCTGGTTTGCTGTGAAAATTTTAAAATTTATGTTGCTTGAGTCTCTAATTGAAATTGTTTGTTTTAGACGTCAAAAGCTAGAATACGAAATTTGATTATATAGGTATTAAAGATTTTTCATTAAATAATTTTCATTAAATCGAACCAAAAATTCACGAATTTTTTAAAATTGAAAATTGTGTAAGAAAAAAACATAGGTATGAACTCTTTGAATATTTTTAACTTCATATATAAAATATGTTTCGTTTAAATAATGAAAATTTAAAATGCTTATTACACATTGAATTTCTTTAACCTACACTATCGTGTTCTAAAACAGAACTGTCCAGACCAGATGCGATCGCGGGCCAACACAAATCACTGTATAAACTGTAGGGCCGTAGAAACAAATACAAACGTTCATAGTTGTTTTCGACAAAAAAAAATACGGTTTTAATTTTAAATTTAGTTTTATTAATTCATCAATTAAAATTCATTTATTTGGGATGCTATAAAAATAAAATAATGTAGACCTACCAGTGTCCCACAAGCAAATTTTTGCAATTGTAGTAGATTAAAAACAAATCGCGGGCCGCATGTAGCTCGCGACCGCATGTAGGCCGTAATTGGACAGCCCTGTTCTAAAAGATCTTTCACGTTCAATTTTTTCTTTCTTTTTCTTATCTTTACTTAGCGCTACCTTTTAATCATTTAAAAATGACAGCTATTACCAATTTTTTGAAATCTATGGCGTTGTCGATTGGTAAATCTGGGGTAATTTTATCAATCGAGGTGCTCTTTTAATATACTTTTAGTGCAATTTTATTTTCGAGCGGTAAATCTGAGGTAAAATGTATATTACTCGAGATTAATTCATAACACACTAGATATTTTGCCAGCGTAGCAAGATTACATTGGAATTAACAGCTGTTTTATATGTTTAGCCAGATGAAATGTGATTTGATTAGTCTCATACATATCTCAAACAACAAGAGCTAGCACCTTTTTTGGACACTTTTAGACACAAATTTGCTTAGGGTTTAAACTATTCTTTTTAGGTAAAATAAACTTTAAATATATCGGAAAATGGTGAGAGAGAGGCGAGAGAAATGAGAAAGAAAGAAAAGAGTAGACGAATAAAATGCGATAGAAAGTGGAAAGAATGAGGTAAAAGAAAGGCAGATATTTGGCAAAATAGATCTGAGAAAGATGTGATCTGGCACGAGAGATGATGGGGATAATGGGGAGTACATGAAATTTTTAAATGAAAACATTCTTTTCATGATCAAATATGACATTTAGTGCAGCTAAATAATTCTCTTTTATCTATTTTTTTTTGTTGTATTTTCGTTTTATCATTCTCAATAATCCGTCATTCCTTTCTCACACTGTTTGTATTGGTAGTATTAGCCTTACTACTGTTCTTCTTAAATTCTATCTTCTTTCATTGTTTCTTCTGAAAGACGTTTCTGCATTGTAGAGTTTGACATTAAGGTTATGTTTTCCAACATACTTAGTTGGTCACATTAGATGTTGTCTTTTTCAGATAGTACTTAGTTTCAGATTTAGTTTTCCGTTAATTAATTTTTTTCCGGTAAGTGAAGTACTATATCCCCAGTACAAACTAGTACTTGAGAGTGTACTGGGTGTAGACTATCGTTTGCTTTTTTTAACTTCAACTATTTGATTTCATTCATTGTTATAACGAAAAGGTGACTAGAAGTATTATATGCATACTATGTATATCGTTTGTAAAATTTAGAGCTCAGTAGTTTATTAGTTGTAGAATTTTTTTATTTTCTGCTTGTTAAATATCATAATCCACTAACAGCAACTATTAAAGAAGTTATTATACAATAGCTGATAATTGTGTCTTCTTATCAACGATGGCAATGAGTACTCCGTAGTCGATAAAACCTAGCACTGGTTATTTGTTTTATATAGATCACAGTTTTAACTGTTCTGTCTTTACTTGTTAAATGGACTGTATTATTATTTCAGATAAGGTTAAATATATAGGATTTTTTTTAACTTCATTTTGGTCTCAAAATTGCTTGCAAAGATATAATGTAAATAATAATTAGTGAGGCTTGGCTCCACCCTCCTGATTTGAGAGCAACTTAATAGACAGTTATTTCCGAGAGAAAGTGTTATTTATATTAACATGCAAATAAAATGATTTGTTAAAGTTAACTTACAAATCATTTATGATATAATGGGATCGATGATGTAGTTTGAAGGCATTTCAATTGGCATAAATGAAAGTGTAAATAATTGTATTAGTATACCTCCTTTCAAACTAATCCAACTTACTCGGAAAATTTAGAAATTTATTTCAATGCTCCTTAAAAGAGTATTAGTTTTAAGCGCTTCTTCAGTAATCAGTATCTATGTTCATCAATATTCTGTATTAGTAGTTTAATACGATTGACTTTACGCTACCGAAATTTTTCTGAAAAAGGCTTTGAGAAACTAAAATTTTAATTTAGATATGCCTTTGAGTCTTCAACATCAAGTTCTTGAATATTCAGTTTAAAACTGCTAATGGCATTCAGAGTGCAAACACAAAAAAAATGCAATTTAGTCAGAAAAGCTAATAAAAAATTCAATGAAGACATCAATCGAAGTTAACTCACATTGTATCTTTTTTAGAAATTGGGTTTTAGTATCTCTTCGATTACTTTTTTGTTATGTTTTATACATTTTTTTTTGTTTTTGTTTGTTGTGTTTTTGTATTTGTATTTTTATTTTTATTTTTTGTATTTGTTTTTGTTTTGTTTTTGTTTTTGTTTTGTTTTTACTACTCTTAACCACTTTTAATGTATTCACCTGTGCGTAAAAATGTCTAGAATCTTCAGGAAGGCAGCAAGCTTCAGTTAAGTCGAAATGAATACGAGAACTCGACTCAGACAATGATGAGTTTTCCAATATTTGTAAAGTGTTTTGATTAGGACACATGTTGTGAGATTGCCTGCAGCAGGGAAGAAAAAACAGCAGAGAAAATAATTTTACAATTTTCGTATAACTTTGGCTTTACGGAATTCAATTTCATTTGTTTTCTTTTTTAACTTAAATTTCATATAATTTTCATTGTTGTCGTCATTGTCGTTTTCACTTCAATTTAAACTTGGAAAAGTTACCGAAACTTTTCTTTTCGTTTTTGTAACATTCACTCTATGCTTCGATTGTGCCAGGTGAGGGAGATTACGAGTATTTCGTATATTGGCATTACCGATAATACCTTAAAATGTCTTTCTTCTGCTGCTGCTTAGAGTTTTAGACGAAAATTAAAGCCTCCGGATAAATGGCAAAATATGCGATTGTACTTCAATTGCTTTTGAGTACTCTTGGAATGAGCGAAGAAGCGGCATGCAATTGAAATGTGACTCAGTGGAATTGTTTGCGGCATGATTTCGAAAAGCGAGGTTACATAAATTAAGCGCGAAATTGTTGCTCTTAACTTGATGGCCTGATGTGGTGTGGTGTTGTGATGGTGTGGGTGTGTTTTTTTTTATATTTGGCTTTCATTTATTTAAACTTTTGGCTTAAATTGTAATTTAGCGACATTAAAAGGCATTAATGAAGATTTATGATGCTCGACTGCGTACTTTTCAAGCTGAAGCTTCTCAAACTTGTAGCTAAAATTGGGCTATTTAGCAGCAAGCAACAGATAAGGCTTGTGGCACCTTGTGCTTTATATTTATTATGAGGTACATATAACCATTTTAGTGTTTATAAATGCCACACGGGCTATTTGCAGTAGAAGCGACTGTTTCACTGTAGACTTTGTTGGTTTTAGGTTTTTAGGGAAGCAGATAGGCTTGAAAGTGTTTCATGTATGCATGAGTGAATCAGTAAAGACAATGCTTTGCATGATGTATCATGTAGTCGACTAATGGTAATTTATGTTCAGGTATGTCTATGTGCTCAGTGCAACGTCGCAGTGTTGTCGTTTTGAAAAAAAGTGTGGACAATGGTTGATACATGACACAGAGACTGCAGGACATTTAATGTCAAAACATTGCGTATTGTGTGCTCGAACTTAGGAACAATGTGCCACTATTACATGTTGCCTATTATGCTAAATAATCCTTAAAGCACACAATACCATTTGAAATGCAATTTAAGTTTCGTTTTTTTTTCTTTTTGAATTAAATGGCATTTAGTCAATGTTTTTTTGTTTTTGTGTTCTGAGATAGCCAAGGTGCAAGTTGCCTGGTTAACATTTTCATTTTCAACTGTTTCCTTCGAAGGAGAAACTATTTCATGAAATTTCTTTTGCTATACGAATTGTAAAATAAAACGGAATGA